ACGTATCGCAGCAGCTCCGTGTCCACATCCTGTCTTCCGAGATGTGTTCACCCGCCGTGGACCGCACCGCGAAGGAGCCATTGTCAATGGCGATGATGGATACATCGAACGTCCCACCCCCAAAGTCAAACACCAACACATTCACGGGGCAATCCGCGCCCTGCGCACCGGCGCCAGAGCCAAGGCCAAGGCCGTAACACAACGCCGCCGCAGTCGGCTCATTTACAATACGCAGCACCTCCAACCCCGCGATCCGTGCGGCAGCCCTCGTGCGTTCCCGCTGGGCATCGTTGAAGTACGCGGGCACAGTGATGACAGCCTTTTTAACCCGTTTGCCAATGAATTGCTCGGCGCAAAGTTTGAGGTACGCGAGTACTCGCGCAGAGATCTGCTCTGGCTCCAGTCGAAGTGTCTCCCCATTGTGCTCAACGCGGATCAACACACCATCGTTCTCTCCCTTTTCAACGGCAAATGGCCAGCGTTTCACGTCATCGTGAATGGTTTTCTCGCCAAACTTGCGACCAATCATGCGCTTCGCATCATACACGACACCTGTCACCCCGCGAGAGGCCAACTGCTTCGCGCTGTCGCCAACCAACACGTCACCATTGTGGAAAGCCACACACGACGGCGTTGTGCGGTTTCCCTGATCGTTCGGAATAACTTCAACCGCGTCGCTGCGAAAAACCGCCACGCACGAGTACGTCGTGCCGAGGTCGATGCCGATGGTACCATCAAACTCCTCCATTTAAACACAACAAAAACAAAAAAAGATATATAAATCCGGACCTTCTCTGTGGCAAACAAACGAGCAAACAAAAAAGACTGGGCGGAGGTAGAGAAACTGCCCTCGGAAGGAGGGGAAAACAACAACAACAACAACAAGAAAAGAAACGAGACTAAAAACAATACAAATATAAAGAGAGACTGCGAAAGAATAACAACAATAAACAAGAACACAGTCTGCCTTGCAACGCAACGTCCCCCCGTATCTGTGCAGAAGAAAGAGAAAAAAAAAAAAAAAAGAACGGGGTAAAAAATTGCTTGCGTGATGGACATGCAACATAATATACATATCTAAAAGAAAAACTTTTTTTTTTTTTTTAAGGGCTTCTGTTGCTTTTTTTGTTTGTTTCGTTGCTTCTCGTATACATATACGTATATAACTCACACAACATCAGCTGTGCATAAATATAAAACACGGTGTATTTCTTCAAAGTACTCAACTCGCGCACGGGCGCACGTCTCTGCAGCCACCAGTTCGTCAATTTTGCTGCGGAGAAGCGATACGCGTTGCAAAAGCAACTCCGTCAGTTGTCTGTCAAAGTAACGTGCCTCACTTTCAAAACTCAAATGCCCGCGAAGGAACTGCCGGAAAAGTGTCATCTGGCCGTAATTGGCACACTCACAATCAAGCAATGGGCCATAGCTACTGTACGCCTCCACCTCCACCTTGCGCCTCGCTACTTCCTCCGCTTTTGCCAGCAGTGTAAAAGGAGAGTGGGCGCTCCAGCATTCGTCAATGTGTTCGTACAGCACCGACCTCTCCTGCTGCTCCTCCCGCAAAGTGGCACTGTATACAATGGCATGAAGGGAAAGCAATATGTCGCTACGGTCACACCGTTCCTCCACAAGACGCCTTGTCCGAACCACATCCTCGCGGCTCAAAAGTCGTTCCATGTGGTTCATGCACGGTGGATGCGCGTTCTTTTTAATCCTCTTCTTCGTGGTGGCGGTGTACTTTGCCAGGGCGGCAAGAAATCCGGCACGCTCATGCCACTGGGAACTTTCCTCCCTGGCGTCACTCTCGAGATTTTGGCGCCGCGCCGTCTCCTCTCTGTAGAGCGCGTCAATTGCAATGGCAACAAATGCATGAGTGCATTGCATTGCACTGTACTCCCTCGCTTCCTCTTCCTCAATCCGCTGACGCCCGTTACGCACAACTGCAAACAAAATATGCATGTACATGTATAGTCTTCTGTTTTCCTGGAGAAACCGTGAAACGATCTCCTTGTAATTTTCCTCCATCGGCCTCTGGGCGCTTAAATCAAACCAATCACGGAAAGAATCCACCGCCATTTCAAGTTGAGACTCTACGATGCCATCAGATTCCTCAACGTGCACACTGGACGCGGCCCGCAACTCTTCCTCTTTATTTTCCTCACAATGCTGCGCCTCCAGCGTCTTCACCATGTCGGCAGATATCTTCTTAAGTTGCATCTCCTGCGACAAACTCATGGCCTGTCGCGCCTTCTCTGAGCGATGTTGGCGATTGGACGCCCTGCAAAAGAAGCGTTGAATGATTCGCACCGCTGCTTCCAGCGAGTCAAACTTGCGACCCATGCCGTGACTCCATTCCATTCCCCATCGTGACTTGCCAAAGCCCGGCCTCCACAGTTCTCTGCGCAGCCGCAGGAGGTTGTCCCACCGCCATTCTTCCTCCGTCAGGCGTGCAAATACCCCCAACTCTTCCGCGACAATTTCAATTCGCGCTCGTGCCTCATCATCCAGCACCCGCAACTTTTCCTCCGACACGATGCACCTTGACATGGACGCCTCCGCCTCATCCACAATAGCGCCACGAACATTTTTTTCCCACGTCTGCAAGAGGTCACGACCCACAGTTTCCTCCTCCTCAATACAGAGGATCGTGGTGTAAAAGGAACGCCAAGCCCAAGCCCCATTCTTCATCACTGCGTGATATATCTGCAGTGTCTCCAGTTCCTTCTCCTCCTGTGCGCAAATGGAGTCCCTCGATTGCGCCTCGGCCTCTTCAAAAAGCCGCACCTGTTGGATGAACGAGTAGGACCCCTCTATCCACCGCACTGCGCGCCATAGTGGATATGGCTGCAGTGGTTGTTGGCGCACATACAGACGGTACGGCACATGTAGAAGCTTTAAAACAGGCGGGATGATCGCTGTGCCATCGTCCTTTTCCAGTGGGTATTCACGGAGATTTTGTGCCTCAGTTTCCTGCAGGTTTGACGCACGATTCATCAATGTGTAAACAAAATAATCAAATATGTATTGATACGACATTTCTACCGCCCGTTCAATGGCCGCCATAGACTTGTGCACTTCCTCCAATGAAATGGGGGAGGCGGCAGCCTCCATCTGTCGCCTCATCCGACCAAGGATGGCACGGTAATCACGTGACTTCATTTGCCTTCGTCTTTGGGCCACATATTTCTTAAGCTCCCGCCTTTTCCGTTCATTCCACCCGGTTCGTTGAAGCATGCGCCACCACCGCTGAACCCGTAGGATCGCACTCAGCCGAGCCTGACAGCTACCGTAGACACACAGTTCTTCTATTGCCTTTCTTGCCTGAGTTTCCTCAACAAACTGCAAGCGCAATACGCCGTGTCGCCACTCCAGCAGATGGCGGTCTACGCGTTCCTTCGAGATAAGCGCCAGCCGGACTTTCCACTCTTCCTCGCAGACGTCATAGTCCATAAGAAGATCTGCTCTTCCGCGGTAGCCGCCCGTGCCGACGTTACGGCGGGAAAAAAGACACGCCGCGGGCGAAAAGGCTTCAGTGGGATAAAACGACATCGCCGCAATGCGCGACTCCCAATCACGTATCCCCCATAAATCCTTAGCGATAAACTCTGCGGTAGCCGCCTCTCGTTCCACCTGTCGGCGTCGTTCCTCAAGCAGCACCAGTTCACGCAGCGATGCTACATGACGTCGTGCATCTTCTTCCTCACTTACCATGCCTGCCCGTGTGGTTGTCTCAAGATGCAGGAGATGGCCACGCTCTTGGTATTCGCGCACAATCCGCATGTATTTTGACCGTTGTAATGCCAGTGACCTCGCCTCAATCGCGGCTGTCTCCCGCTCCGCCTTTGCCTTCTCCTTCTGGTAGTGCCAAAGAAGCTGGTGGCGTTTCTCGTGCTCCCGTCCGCATATGACGCTACGTAACTTGGACTCCAGTCGCTCCAACCGTTCCTTTTCCACTGCTAACTCGAGAGCCGCCACCTTCGTTTCCATCCGTCTTAACTCCTGACGCCGTCGAGACTTGTCAATAGATGGAAGCAAAGGCCCCGACTCCGTCGACACAAGGTCCGATGGCGGCGGCAATGGCACCCGCGAGCACCACATGTCGCCCTTCACGGATGAGTGGAGGGGAGGCAAGACAAACGACTTCATTACCCCTTCTTACTTCACGCACAATTTCCCTACGTCTCCTGATTGTATTCTCTTCGCCAGGCCGTTCAAACAATCAAAAAAAGAAGCAGGGAAAAAATGATGGGGCGCACAGGGAAAATGCCATCCAAGCCACAAGATAACAACAACAGCAAAAAGATTGCGTCCACAATTGGGAGTGGAACGACTCATCCACCCACAAAAGCAACGCAAAAAGAGGAAATAAGTGTTACAAACAAACCGTCGCAGTGGCGTTAGTAAACATCGGTAACCCCCCCCTTCCAATGCCTTTTGCCCTCTTCTCGCTTATTCATCCCTGCTGCCTATTTGTTTCACAAGATGCCTTCCAGTGAGGGCTGCCAAAGCCGGTCTTCGCGCCTGGGGAGGAGACGTGTGGCATTCGGCGCGTGAATCCCGGACTGTTGTTTCGTCAACACCCGTCGCATTGGATTATAGCACATCATGGCATCGTCAGCATCATCAATAACTGCATCGGCATTTCCTCCGTTGCTTGTGTCGTTATTCTCGTCGAGACTTCTCCTGTCCCTCCTCACACCGGCGCTCATATGTGGTTGCCAGGCGTGGGAGGAAGCATCCGGTGCAGCTGGGCTACGGCTGCCGCCACTACTACTGAATTGCGGGGTCGTCTGGTCAATATACAGGACATCATCGTCCTCTTGGTCATCGACATTGTTGTCAGGATTGTTCTTGTCACCTTTACGGCTCTCTCCCTCTTCATCGCTGCTGCCATTATCGGACGAAACAATCATCGCTTGCGCCTTGGAGGTGGCTTCTTCTTCCACGTCAACGACAGGCGGGGCACGCGGGCGTTTACCGCGACTCGAGGAACGACAAAGTGACTCGCTGCTACTGGAGTCTGCGTCCTTCTCCCTCTTGTGGGTATTCCGCGGTCGCCTCTCCATTTCCCTTAGTGCTTGATAACGCGACTGCAACTGACCCAGTTTCTTCCGTTTTTTCTCCGCCAGTCGTCTCTGCTCGCTGACATCGTGCTCTAATTCCTCAAGTGTCGCCGAGGAATGCATGATGTACATCTCCAGTTCCGTGGCTGTCATATTTTCCACGCACAACCTTTCTCCCGCCAGCTGCGGCACATGTGCGGCCGGCGCCCCAATTGGGAGAGTCTTTGACAGCCGATCCAACTCCGCCTGTGTCTCGGAGAGCCTCGCGTGCATCAGAGCGCATGTGCGTGTTAGCTGCGTCACTCGCTCACGTTGCTCGTAAAGCGTGCGAAGCTGGGCTATGTGAGTCTTCTGTGCGTGATGCGTCTTCTTGAAGCACGACGCGGCCTCTCCACCGCCGAACTTCGACCCACAGCGCGTATCCCCGCCACTAGGAAACAATGGAATAAGACGCTGAATAGGCACCATGCATGCCGGGCACGCAACAAGACGACTGTCGCGGCTGCAACCGCCGTTGCTGTTCTTTTTATCAATACTTTCGCTGCCCAGCTCAAAGGGCGTCGGCAGTGCGGCACCCACCCCTCCCGCGTCCCCTCGAGCAATCAGTTGTTGCAGTTTTCTTCGCTTGCGCACGTATTCCACACATCCCGCGTGAAGGAGGTGCTGGCACGGCAAAAGAAGCACCGCCCGCAGAGGTCCCTCGTCGCCGATGGGAACAGCACACTCGCAGCACTCCACAGGAACCTCAAACATCGCCGACACAATGCACAGCGACAGAGGCGTGGCAAACCACTAAATCTAATGTTATCACAAGAGTGATCCCCCTGCAAGAGTTGCTAGAAAACAACAAAAAGAAGAAAAAATGCTCTGCAGCTGCAGCAGTAGTTCAAAGCAATAGAATCCAAAAAATATATAAAGAACCCAACTTTCATGCCCAGCCAATATGTTTCGCCTCCGCGGTTTTTTCGTTGATGTTCTCTCACTCATTGTTTCCCTCCCTCCTCGTCCTTTTATGCTGTTTCGTTGCACTTTCCTTTCACTTTTTTTTTTTTTTTGAGTCTACGCCCACAGGCACAAAGCGAAGGCAGAAAAAGAGGGGGCAATGGACATGCAACGCTAAATTCAGACACACAGAGACACAGAGATACAAAAAAAAAAAAAAAAAGCCAATCTCCGTTCCTAACCGTACATTTTGTTTCTTTTCCCGCCTTTTCCGAATTGCAACCGCAGCAGCAAATCACACACGCCGCCTCAACTTTGACGGCGGCGGGGGCGGCGGCACTCTGGCGGTGTTCACCACCGAGAAGTAACTGAGACGCGGGGCACAAGGCAATATACGCGCAATAAGTTCCACCGGCAGCGACGCACACTGCTCCACGTTCGCCAGTGTCAACGACTGCAAGGAGACAAAAACAAGCCGACCAGCTGTCTCATCTACAGAGTGCACCGTGACGTTCTTTGTTCCTTTGCGTGGCCGGTTTTCCCGCGGCGACTTTAGCGTCGGCCGCCTGAATTCCTCAAAAATGTTCATGTTGGAGAGGTTCACCGTTAGCTCCCGCAGCTCAGGAAATGCCTGCGCGGGGAGAAGAAGACGGGTAAGCGCGCTCAGTTGCAGTGGACACCATAACTTCACTCGCCACGGTCGCCGCGGGGCACGTAACATGTCAAAGAACTCGTCGTGAATATTTAATGGAGGACGCAGTTCGCTGCCTGGAACCGCTGCCTGGTCACGCCGGGAGCCCACTACAATTTGCTCCAATGCAGGGAGGCGCTGCCACCAGCCGGGAGACCACTGCGAGAAAAGATCCACGCCAACCTTGAGTGTTTGCAGCTTCGGTGCAACAAGGTAAAGATCACTGAAGAAATACTGCGGGATATGCGGGTTGGAATTGCAGTCCCACTGAACCCCACGGAGGTCTAGATAAATCAGCGACAACAGGGACTTCACCAGCGAGGGATACACATGATGGGAGCACAACGGCAAGGAAGTACTGACCGGCAGCGACGAAGCGTACTTGGAGTCCACAAGGTTCAACTGTTTTACCAGCTGCCCCCTCTTGTATGAGGCGAAAAACGAGCAGAGTGAGTCCACAGCGGTGTGACTCGAAAGAGAAGCCAACGGAATCATGTCAGGCACAACAGTGGCGTTTGGTGGGGTCAGTGCAATAACAAGCTCGCGTAAGCGCCGACAGACGGAGCCAATCTGTAACAATTCCCTCGAACAATTCCCGAGAAATGCACAGATGCAACGCAGAGTGGCGTCATCCATAAGGGCAAACTCGTCATGGGGTACAGGTACCGTCTGAAGCGCATGCAGCGCCTCACGCGCCTCACGATGCGGGTCGGGCTTTAATTGTTCCTGAATTAATGACGACATGTTTGCGTAACGTACAATCGGCATTGCTCTAAAAGGCAGCGGCCTGCGTGCTGTCAGCCCGCCCGTAATCAGTGCGGAGTCAAAGAGTGCCGTATCTACTGCCGTCACTGACGCCACCGCGCGATTACAAGACCGTCGCGACGTGCCCTCATTTAACGCCGCCACCATTTCCAGCCGCCCTCTCACAGGACTCCACCACAGACGGTTCCTCTCTCTATTTATATATTTAAGTAGATACCCACCTCTTCCACCTTTCGCGTGCAAAAAACACGGCAACCATAATAAGCAATAAAACAACAACAACAAAAAAGCAGCGGCATGCGGTAAGACAGGAATGAACCACAAAACAACCATTTCCCTTTCCTTCCTCACCGCCCTGCAAAAACTGGTTCTCTCACAGCATCGGACCCGATACCTCGTTGAATCTGGGAACTCCTGCTCTCCCCGCAACGCCGAGGAGCGTGCACACGGACGCAGTTCTTCTTCGGCCGCTGCGGCGTATCCAGGAACGAAGCTTGTGATGCTAAATCCGAGATGGCATCCGACCTCGCACAGCTCAGAGGCACATTGAACACCGGCATGGTTTTCATTGGCCGAAGGTATTATTTGTACCCGACGGCTCAAGGCGGTGGCTCACCGCTCCACCGCAGCAGGCGACTGGGAACCCACGCGCACGGACTTCATTCTCACTCGTGTGGAAGAGGCCGCACTGGCCCGCCTCCGCAGCGGGGTTTCGCACAAATGCGGATGGCTGCTACGGCCACTGCAAACCGCCATCCCAGGCAAATGCCGTTGGTGTGCGGCGCGGATGCCGCACTGGTGTCGTGGTGCACATGATTAAAGCCCGTGGCATTACGTGCTCCAAGGCGCTTCGGAAATTCAACTTCCCCGGTGACTCGGAACGGCCAGGAATGTCGCCGGAACCACCACCCGCCAGTTGAGCGAGGACGAGAGCGAGAGACGGCACGCCGACCGCACCTCCGCCAAAGACTGCACAGCCCAGGCCGAAGCTACTTTTATGCTGTTTCCGCACGGCGTTGTACGACCAACAAGCCGGACCCAGACTTTGTCACCGACACTGCCACAAGCACGACTGCTTCGGGTCAAGAAGAAAGCGTCCCGGGAATATGGCGATCCTGCTGCATCCATCCCGTCCCAATGCACGTCCTGTGGATTCAGGTCCGAAACGAAAACGAGTCCAGTATCTTACATACGCGCACACGAACGCTCCAAAACAGAGCTGCAGCCGGCAACAAAGACTACGGCACTCCTTCAATGCCCTTAACGTGGCAAGCAGCCGGGCATTGCCGAGGTGTTGGCCAGCCACACCCGGCACAGGCACCCCGACGGTGAGAATGTCACGACGCCAAAAATGACGCCACAATGCACGCACTCCGCAAAGCTCGAAACACAGCAGGAAGAACGCCAACTCTGCACAGCGACTTTGCCTCCGCAGGCGGTTCCCTCCGCCGCGCAGGAGAATGTCGGCGAGGGACGGCGCACCGTGTGCCCAAGGCAGCACGCACACTTCCATTCATCAACGTCCCACCGCTGCCGATTGAATGGCAACAGAGGCGTCATGCTGCCGAGAAGGCGCACGTTGCCCGGCGATGGCACTCCGATGGGATCACTACCGGTCAAATTTCGCCGTCCAGTATGCGGCTTTTAGTCCCGCAACAGTCACGGAATGGGCCGGCATAGCACGGCACACCACGGGCATTGACCGTACATCGTGAAATAAAACCAGCGTGAAATGTGTGACGAGACACTTCCGCATCTACTCTGCTGCCGGCTCTGTAGGCGCACAGACAAAAACAAGGAGTGGACACTGGGAAAGTGAGGAATCCGTGCTTCGCAAAAAGTTGACGCAGCTTTCTTCTCGAGGGGGAAAGGCTCTGCCGCCCCCCAAGCATCACCCCCACACGGCGACGAGGTGGAAGACGCCTTGCAGATGCGGCAAATTGCCTTTGCTCCTGGCAGGTTCCCCTCTTTTTCTCCTCATTTACGGACTTTTTAAAAATTTGTTTCTTGATTTCTTGGCAGTGACGGATTATTTATTTACTCCACTACTCCGAGGGGACGCGTAACGGGTTGTGTTTTACGCCGTCTCCTGCAGCGCCATCTCCAGGGGTTGGGGTTCTCTTCCGCATCTCCAATCAGCGTGGCGGACGTGCTTTACGATGGTGGCCGGCGTGCGGGGCATCGTATTTATCTAAGAAAAAACAAGAGGAAAGGGGGGAAAAAATAAAAGGATGCCACCGTCCGTTGTTTTTGCCAGGCGAAGTTCCCGGGAGTTTATTTCTCCTCGCAGGCCTCCACAATTCCAAGTGGCGACAAAAGCCGCCAATAATAAAATAAAAAAAAAAATAAATAACGATGCTGCCGTGCAGAAAACAACAACAACAACAACAACAGGATTCAAAAAAAAAAAAAAAAAAAAAACAACACTACTCCTCCTCCCCAGTCTTCCTTTCAGACTGCTCCCCCCCATCCACCCCTTTTTTTTTACTATGTATTCTCTCTCTTTTTTTTCCTTCTTTTACAAAATAAATAAATAAAATTGTTATTTAATTTTTACTTCATCTCAGATGCGAATTGGAAGATACAAAAAAAACATAAAAATATAGAAGTAAAAAATTTATTAAAATGTGGTCACTGTTTTAACATCTTCTAACGGACAGTTTCCACCCGTCGCCCTTTTATTTCCCCCCTGACGTGGCTTCGGTTTCACATCTCCCTCATTTGTATTTGATTTTTGCTCACTTGTCTTCTTTTCCCGCCCATCCCCAATCCACGCAGGCGGATCCTTCCTTTTCTCACGATTTTTTCTTTTCTTTCATTTTTCACACCCCTCACCATTTTTTTTTTTTTAGTATTTTTATTTGTTAAAACCATCGGTCCCTTTACAATGCCAAAGACAGCGACTCCGCCCGCTCCTCTTCCAACTCTTTGGTAGTGGCCGCCAAATGTTTCGCCACACTCGGCGTAATACACGCATTCTCGACAAAATGCCACTCACCTCCGCTGCATGTCACGGGGAAGGAGAAGACAAGGCCTGGTGGCACACCGTATGGGTTTCCATCGGAATACACAGCCATGGAAACATGTGTCCCCGTTGGCGTACCAAGAACCCAGTCGTGCACTTGGTCAACAGCGGCATTTGCGGCAGAAAGAGCCGAAGAGTTGCCGCGCCACCGAATAATCTCATACCCGCGTTGCTGCACAGTTGTCATGAATTCTCCATCAAGGTACGCGTCATCCTTTATCGCTTCTCGCACAGGGACGCCTTTCACGGTGGCGCTGTTAACATCCGGGACTTGTGTGCCGCTGTGGTTTCCCCAAATAATGCAGTTCTTGACATCTCGAACATGAGCATTGGCCCGCTCTGCCACAAGCGCAAGCGAGCGGTTGTGGTCGAGTCGCGTAAGCGCCGACACGTTCTTCGGCTTGATTTTCCCGTTCGAGGCATTCAAAAGAACAAGGGCATTGGTGTTGACAGGATTGCCCACAACACACACGTGACAGTCTTTACTGGCCAATTCACCCAAAAGACGCCCATGTTCTGAAAAAATTGCGGCATTTTTCTGCAGGAGATCCCTCCGCAGCGTGCCGGGTTTGGCAGGAAACGAGCCACAGAGAATGGCGATATCGACATTCTCAAAGGCCACCGCCGGCTGGTGCGTGATGACAACACGGTCCAGTAGTGGGAAGGCACAGTCCATGAGTTCCGCACGTATCCCCTCAAGACATTTCATGGCGGCCTCAATATCGAGCAGGTTCAGCTGCAGATGTTGATTGGGACCCAACATGCGGCCGCCGGCAATGAGGGGGAGTAATGCGTACCCAACCTTGCCGGCCGCCCCCGAGACGACCACCTTCGCACACGCACCTTCAAAAAACATTATCAAATCGCTTTGTTCTTGCTTGAATGAATGACTTCTTCTGCCCGCAGTAAATTCGTTTCATTTTTTTTTGTTTGTTTTGTTTGTGCCCATTCGTACCGGGCGGTGCGAAAAGAAAAAAAAAAAGGAACCATTCATTTAAAAAAAAAAAAATAAACCCATTTTTTTTTTTCTTCTTCTCTTTCCAGGGCCGCATTTCCCCCACAGGAGGAGGAGAAAAGGCACAGAAACTCTCACGATGCGCGCACATCACCAAAGTGCAGCAAGGAACGCACCTCCTCTGCGTTGGACGGGCAGTCAACCAGCAGCGTTCGCGCTACACACTCAATGCGTCCGCAGACATCAAATTCCACCTCGTCGTAAAAAGAGAACGAAACATCCTTGCCGTTGGCTGCAAAGACGGAGCGCACCCCGATGACACGCGGGCTATTAAAAACACTCCACACCTGCGGCTGCCCTACGCACGTCCACCGCTCCGTCACGGTCGCATTCTGCGCCGAAATCTCGCTAGCGACAACTTGCGCAGAGGCCAGTCGCTTAACGGCGCGGTCATTACCATAGCGTAGAGCCAGCCTGCAGTAGGGACTCAGCCGCTCCTCTACGGAGCTTGCGGAACGGGCCTGCACCACAGAAAGTGCGGCCTGACGCATTTCCTCCGGGTCAGGCAATGCCTGCACGGCCTCCAGCAGCGCCTGCGCCTTCGCCTTCACTTCCCCCGTGCCGTGGGCCAACGCGAGCGAGTCACATGTACGTTGCAACACACGGCAACGTGATGCACGAGAAATCCCTTGAAGGGACTCTACCCACTGCAGTACCATATCGTCAAATGTGGTCTTCTCCATTCCCCCGCTTTATGCTAGAAAAAAAAAAAGAGGGAAAAAAAGAGGGGAAAAAAAGTGCGTACCGCACAAAACCCTCTTTCCACCCCATATTCCGCACGCAGACAAGCACCAAGCGTCCCCTTCAGTTACTTCTGTATCAATGGAATAAAAAAAGCATAAAGTAATTCAACTGGCATTGCAAGGAGGGACGCATAACCCTTACTTCTTACCGGCGGCGGCTTTGGCCTTGCGAGCAGCGCGGGCCTTCTCAATGCGCTTCTTAGCTGCTGGCTTGCTGTCAACCTTCTTGGCGTTCTTCTGCAGCTTCTTGAGAGCAACCTTGTGCCACGAGACGGGTTTCTTCTTGTCATTCTCGTCAAAAACTTTGCGCGTCCAGAAGGCACGAGAGCGCTTGGCGACACGCAGTTGATAGCGCTCAAAGTCTGTCGACCTTGCAAACGCCCTCTTTGCTGCAATGCGTCTAGCGGACTTCGTGGCGGCGTACTTCTCAAGAATTTTCTTTTCCGCGAGTACATTCTTCAGTGTCCGTGTGCTGCAGTTGCGGCTCAATTCCACGCTGAACTTCAGCGGCTCAACGTTCTTCAGGTTCTGCACGTGGCGCCACATCTTTTTGTCCGCGGGGTTCTCCACAAGCACACGGTTGCCGTCGATGATGTCAACAACAACGCCGACGCGGTCCTGACGGGGGCCGCGGATGATGCGCACCAAGCGCCCAGCGCGAATATAGTTCGCCTTCACCATTTGGGACCTTTTGCTCCTTTCTGCCTAACGCGTTGGAGCGCAGAAGAAAAAAACAAACAAACAACAAACGAACAAAGAGATATTGTTGGTACCAAGTGACGGTAGCACTCACTTCACACCGTAATGCGTCCTTGCAAATTGGTTGGCAATAACTCCGTAAACCACCAAAATGCGTTTTTTTTTGTTTTCGTTTTTAAATTCATAAATGCGCACACCGCAAGCATACATAAGTACATAGACATATATATATATATATATATATATATCGTAATAAGGAGGGAAAGGGAAAATAAATAAAAGCGGTGGAGTAGCGGTGGAGAAAAAAAAAAAAAAAAAAAAAGAGATCATACAAATAATTAAACAGGTGAAAACAGGTTGCTTCAGAGTTAGATTACATGATATTTCCCATCGTCGCATTTTATTCCTTTTCATGCGACATTCCATGGGTATTATATACATCCAAGTTACAAATTTTCACCTCTTGTTATAATGGTCTGCGAGTTACAACAGTAGTCTGTTGCCAAATTCAATCTTGTTTTTTCTATTTCTCTTTTCTCCCTCGTTTTTTTTTTTTTTTTTTTCCTGTTCGGCGTGTGTGTCTGTATGCCTGCTCCGTTTGCCGTTGGTGCTGTTCGTGCAAATCCGTTTTGCGTCTTTACTCCTGTGCCTCCTTCACATTCACTCCCTTCCTCCTCGGTTCCCTGGCGTTCTATATGGCGAGTGCGCAGACGCAGGCAGCACCCATCAGCTGCCAGTAGTCTGACTCCTTGTCTGTCGGCACCTCGATGGACAGCACGTAGTTGGAGCTGGCACCCAGGGAAGAGATGACACCCGCCCGCACCACAGTCCGGTACAAAGGCACACAGTGCCACCCGGGGCCCATCTTGTGGTGCGGCTCTGGCAAAAAGTGAACCACCGGTAGTGAAGCGTATGGCTCGCCGGGTAGTGAGTCCGCCATGACGCCGCGCGTCCCGTCCCATCGCCATGAGTCGGTAAAGATGCCGTACACGTAGCAGCCGCGCTCCGGTCCCGCCTCAATCCTCGCCACCTCCTCGTCCATCACCTGGAAACTGAAACCCAACTTGTCAACGGAAACTCCCTCCGCACGCGAAAAGGCCTGAAACACACCGGTCATAAAGGCACTCGGATTGAAAAAACCTCCAATCCAGAAACAGGCGGGCTCTCCGTTCTGCACCCACGTGCGAATAAACTGCACCCGCTGCAAAAAGTCACGGTACCACGAGCCCAACGGCTTCAAGGAAGTATATCCCACCGCGCTCCAGAGGCGAGGGACTTGGTCTGTCAAGAAGGACTCATACATCGCATCAAGATCCGCGGAAAGTAACGTAAGGCCTCTTAAAGCCTTTTGAAGGTCATGAATTGATTTGCGCATAGCTGTAATTAATTTGTTGTACTTCACCATCTCGTGGGCCAACACAGTAGACATGGAGTTAGGAAGACCACTCTCTAACGTCGTGAAACTTTTTGGCCCGGCCTCTTCACGTAAAAGGACTTCCGGGAGTGAGGCCTCAAACTCCTCACATTTTCGCTTTACTTCTTCTTCAGGCGTGGTGGCCGCGCCACCCTCAGCCCCGGTGCTGCCACCACCCCCACTTCCAATACGTGGCTGGGTGGAAACGACGGTGCTCAACAGATACTGAGAGACCTGCAGCTGATATCGAAGATTTGCATTGGTGTGCATACCAAATACCTCAGGCTCATCCACAAGCGACATTTGTTGAATATGTTCCATAAAGCTCGATAGACTTCCAGCCGGTGGGGCGTAGTAATTACCGCTAGAGCTAAACTTGAAATCGTTTTTCAT